ACCCAGTGCCCTAATTCCGTGGAGTCATTAAGAGATCGGGCTGCGACTTTCTCAAGAGACAAAACTCCTCACCTCAGTGCCCCGGGGCCAGATCTCGGCTCCTTGGCCCTGCCTGCCTGCATTCCCCAGGTACTTACTATCAGATACAAGGCGATTTGCTTCCTGTTGTGCTCTCTTAAGTGGTGGCTGCATTTCAAAAGCAGGGGAGTGATTACAAGTCCTTCCCGGGCTGTAAAAGGCACCGAGCGCTTTCTGGGAAGGGAAAAGTTCGCTGTAATTGGTGCTTCTTACGGCAAATCCCATCAATGCCCTCCTGGCTTTCAGCAAGGGCTAAAAACCGTGGGGAGTTTAGGTGATGGATCTGAGCTTTAGGGTTTGTTGTCTACAGCCCAAACTGTCTGTCTGGAACTGCTTGTTCGGCTGTGGCCAAGTCCTGGCAAACAGGAATGCTCCAGGCTGTGCTGCCTGAAGCTCCCTGGGCTTTGAGCTCTGCACCTGGACAGAATCATTGGGTTGTAGAATCCTTAAGGTTGGAAAAGACCAGCAAAGGTCACTGAGCCCAAACATGGGCCCAGCACTGCCACGTCCACTGGTATCCCAAGTGCCAAATCCTTCTAAATCCCTCCAGGTGACTCCACCACTGCCCTGGGCAGCCGTGCCTGACAACCCTTTCAGTGAAGAAATTTTCCCTAATAGCCAACCCAAACATCCAAAATTTCCCTAATATCCAATCCTCGACACAACTTGAGGCCGTTCCCTCTCCTCCTGTCCTTGTTCCCTGGAGCAGAGCCCGACTCCCCCCGGCTGTCCCCTCCTGTCAGGAGCTGTGCAGAGCCACAAGGTCCCCCCTGATCCCCCTTTTCTCCAGGCTGAGCCGCTTTCCAGCTCTCTCAGCCCCTCTTGGTGCTCCAGACCCTTCCCAGCTCCATTCCCTTCCCTGGACATGCTCCCACCCCTCAATGTCCTTCTCCTATTGAGGGGAATGCACAGGGAAACGCCTCTGAGCTGATGGCTCCTGCTGAATCCAAGCTGGGATCTACAAGCTGTGGACTCCCAAGGTGACGCCACCCCTTCATACCCACACAGGAGAGGTTTTCCTGCACAAACACCATGGCTGTAGACATTTTCTTTTTGGTCCAAGCTTGGCAAGGCACAAGGGGTCTCCCCGAGGTTTGGAAACATCAGTTCAGCACCTACAGCTCCTTCCCAATAAGCCAAAGGCCTGGATCTGATCTCTCTCCTGAGCGGAGGGTGATGCCCAAGAGATGAGAGCTGACCTAACCAAGGAATGTGCTTTGGGAAAGGACAGCATCCTTGTCCCTAAACTGGAGATAGCTGGATTTGATGGATGGACCTCAGGAATTATCTGTATGGTGGTACCCTAGGAGGTGCAGTGGTGTTCCTTGGGGGTTGGGGCTGGCACTGCTTGCTGGTGCCATGGGCAGGGGGATGATCCAGGGCACCCTCAGGAGTTTGCTGGTGTCACCAGGCTGAGAGGTGCAGGCAGATTCTGGAGGGAAGGGATGCATCCAGAGGCAGGCTGGAGATGTGGGTCTGTGCAAACCTCATGAGGCTCAGCAGGGCCAAGTGCTGGAAAACCCCAGCTCTACAGAGACAGGGCAACTGAGAGGTGCTTTATAAGATTTTATTCCATTATCAGTCTCAGTGAAGGGTGAGACATAAGAGATGAAAAACTCAATGCCATTCCATCAGAAGCCACCCTGTTTCCTGATTACAACACCTTAAAATGTTTTTCAGTCTATTAGCTTTTGCCACACTATGCTGCTAATACCTCTAACACCAATCACCTATTATTTTACCCCACATGGTCTTGCTAGAATGCATCTTTCACAGTTCTGATTCTCCAAAATATCTGGTCTTTTTGCAAGGCTGTTGTTTGAAACTTGTTTTTAGTTCAGTCTCTCTCTCAGCAATGCCATCTCTATTCCATGGGCTCCTAAGTCAGCACACCTTATCTCAGAGTCTGCACACAGATGTACAAGACTGAGTGAGCTCTCAGTCAGGCTTTGAGAATCCTTTACAAATCCAGTTCTCACAGTCCTGCACAAGGGCCAGGCCAATCCCAATCCCAAACACAGGCTGGGTGGAGAATGGGGTGGAAGCAGCCCTGAGAAGAAAGAGTGGGAATGCTGGAACCACATAACCTTGAAGGATCTTCCAACCCAACCATTCTGTGATTTTATGGAAAGGTTTCAGGATCAGCTGGGCACACTGGGAGGATGTGGGAGGTGTGTCAGCCTTTCTCAGACACTGCACCTTCCACCTCCCTACAGATTATAACAGCATCCACCCCACCACCTCACCTCACTGCTTTTGTGAGGAGCCTTTCGTTCTTCAGAGACTCCAGGGCTGCTCAGAAATGTTCTTGGAGACCTCATATGAAGCACTCTACCCTCAAAATTTGGTTTCTGGATCCCACCTGGACTTAGGCAAGCGCAAGAGGCAGAGTCCCCAGTCCTGTTTGAACGGGACTCTCCTGTTCATGCTCTAAGCTGAGCTTTCACAGTCAAGAACTGCATGGTCATCATTTGCAGGATGCTGGCATCCTCCAGGCTGGACAGATGCTGAACAAGGGCTTTTCAAAATCACACTGGCAACCTGAGGGTTCCTGCATTTTTTTTTTTTTGGTTGTAGCCCTCGGTGACTTAATAACCTCCCCAAGTGCCCTGGCAAACACGTTCCAGGACATTGCTCATCCCTTCAGCCTGTAAGTTCATGCACCTTATGGGATTTGCATATTGTTGTATTTGGTGGCCCTCCCAAAGCAAAGCTTGGGTTCTTGCTTAAGCCCAAAATCCAGCCTGGACTGCTCCACAGTTGTGATTGCTCCCCGAAACCATGTTGGCTTTTTGGCTTGGTGCAATAAACTCTCTTCATATTAGTAAAGCCCGGAAGCATCTGGAAGGCAAAGATTAAGCCAAAATGCCCAGGGAAAGCTCAGATCAGCAAAATATGGTGCAGGGAAGGTTTGAGTGGTTTTTGAGCAGTCAGCTGATGCAAAGCTCAGTAGAAGCTTTGGTGAAGTTGCATCAACTGAAAATGTGACCTTGTGACTTTATGGATCCATTAAATTTCAATGTCCCAGTGGAATAATCTGAAAAGTGTCAGGAAGAACACAATTTCTAGGATATCTGGTCTACAAGTACAAGGTGGGTGGGCAATAATAGAGGTTAAGGGAATTATCAGAATCATTGTGCCTGCTTAGGATTGTCCCAAGGGTTTGAGAACAGCCCTGTTCATGGTAAAAATCCCATTTTAATGCAGCCAAAAAGCAGTGGTGTTTTCTGAGGTGTGGTGTTGAACTGCAGGGTCATTTCTTGTGAGTGAAGAAATCAAAACTGTGAGGAGAAAGGGAAATAAAAATTGATACCATGGGGTATTCCCCACTTGCAAAGCAGTTTGAAAAGTTTGGTTTTCATTTTGGCACAGTGTGGAAAAAGCACTGGCATCCAGTTAAGCCTTCCCTGCTCCCCTTCCCTGCCCAGCTCTCCCTGGGATGGAAGGCTATGAGGGAAGCTCTCCACAAAGATTAAAACTCCTCAGTCCTCAGCCATGACATCTTCTGGCTGATCCCACCCTCCAGCCCGAGGCAGTGGGCACAGAGGAAAGCTCATTTACAGTCCCCTTGGCAGGGACCTTGATTAGGCAAGGGAGGAAAACTTGGGGCAGGTGCAAGGTGCACCTTGAGTGCTGTCACCCATTGAGAGGCACAGCCTCGGGGAGAAAGGGATGGAGGGAGGGGACATTGTTTGGTTTATATCCTGAGGATTGAGGATGTGACCATCCTGGCATTTTCCTGCCTTCCAGCCACCAGCACCTCTCCCTGTCAAGGAAGAGGAGCTTTACCTGGTGCTGGTCCCTCCACCGGGTAAAGCATGAGGCTGTTGTTAAGTGTAAACCTGCATTTTTTATGTTTTCTGGAACATAACCCAAATTCTGAAGCGAAGCTCGGGGTCTGGCTCTGTGGTGCATGGACTGCACAGTACCACACAGAATATTCCACGTGCCCCCTGAAATTCTGGTTTGCACAGCTGCCTGTGGTGCCATGGCCCTATCCAAAGACCTGAGGATGACCCCAGTCAGAACTTTTTGGCTGACCTCAGTGGCCTTGAATCAAGCCTGGTCCTGTCTGCACAGGAGCTCCTTTCCTAGTGAAACATCTTTGGAGTAGGTCCAAGCCAGACCACAGGGAAGAGGAGGATTTCCTGGCCTTCTGCCATGCCCTCCAGAGGAGATGTTCACAGGACTGACCAAACCCATCCTTCACTGGCCCCTTGTTGCAGCATTTCTGAGAGAGAGAGGGCATGATTTATGTTTGGAATGAGATTTGAGCTACTCCAGTCCGAGCCTCAGATTTGGGTCTTGCGAGGCCTCCAAGCCTCTGACGCAGTTAGAAATTAAGAGTTTGTGGCGCAGTTAGAAATTAAGAGTTTGTGGCGCAGTTAGAAATTAAGAGTTTGTGACGCAGTTAGAAATTAAGAGTTTGTGGTGCCGTTAGAAATTGAGAGTTTGTGGCGCAGTTGGAAATTTAAGAGTTGGTGGCGCAGTTAGAAATTAAGAGTTTGTGGTGCCGTTAGAAATTGAGAGTTTGTGGTGCCGTTAGAAATTGAGAGTTTGTGGCGCAGTTGGAAATTTAAGAGTTGGTGGCACAGTTAGAAATTAAGAGTTTGTGGCGCAGTTAGAAATTGCATTAAGGTGTGATGGGGAGCACTGGGCTGTCTGGAGGTGAAGTAGCACAGGTTTATAGTGTAAGGTTTAGGCCACCTTAAGACAAAGATAAACAATGTTAGCTTGCCAGTCAGAGTGCCTTTGTGAATTGTAAACTATGTAGAAGTGTAAATAAACTGCCATTTCTCTCGAATAAACGGAGAACGTTGCATTAACCATATTGGCTGGATGTGCGTTCTGTCCACCCAGCTCCCCCGATTTATTGAGGTCCCTGCCTTCTGCCCCTCCTCACTGCCTTCTCTCTCTCGCAGCCACCAGGGAGTCGGCCTTCGTCCACGCCATCGCCTCGGCCGGCGTGGCTTTCGCCGTCACCAGATCCTGCGCCGAGGGCTCGGCCACCATCTGCGGGTGTGACACGCGCCACAAGGGCTCTCCTGGGGAGGGCTGGAAGTGGGGGGGCTGCAGCGAGGACGTGGAGTTCGGGAGCATGGTGTCCCGGGAGTTCGCCGACGCGCGGGAGAACCGGCCGGACGCGCGCTCGGCCATGAACAGGCACAACAACGAGGCTGGAAGGACCGTAAGGACATTTCAGTTTCTCCTTTCCTGTTGTTCTTTTCTTACCTGATAGGATGAACGGTGGGAGGGAATTGAGGGGGCTCAAAAGATCTAAATTTATGTCAAAAAATGGTAATACCTGTCCTATGGTAGTTCTGGGTCGACGTGCCTTGTCTGAGAAAGCTCCACATCAATGCACCACGCAGATGTAAACGCCTGCCTTGGAATCAGCTGCCCAGGTCTCTTTTATAGAGGATGGATCAAGGCAGGTGTAGGATGGGATTTCATCCCATCTTATGAGTATTTCTACCCCCAGAAATTGTGGATGCCTCATTCCTGGAAGTGTCCAAGGCCAGGTTGGACAGGGCTAGTGGAAGCTGTCCCTGCCCATTCCAGGGTGGTTGGAACTGCATAATTTTTAAGGTCCCTTCTAACCCAAAACGTTCTGTGATTCCATTATTAGAGTTGCTAACTCAGTTAATAATGTCCTAATTGTGCCTGTTCCCTTCCATTGAGTGTGGGGCACCTGAAATTTGAGTGCAATTGTCCATTTCCCTTCTCTGCAGCCTTGAGGGAGGAGAAGAGCAGCAGAGCTTTTCCCGCAACCCATCTTCTCAACCCTGTTCTATTTCCCAGGAAATACTTAAACAAAATTAGAGGCAATGTAACTGGTGCCTCCTGATTAAACTTGGATCATGCCCTGAAGCTGTTTTTACTTCAAACAATCCTGGAACAAAACATGTTGGGGAAAAGAAAGCAAAAAATCCGCCTTACACACAATTAATCTTTTCCCTAGGTGGAATAATCCCAAAAGGGGGATATTCCTGGTTTTTTTCATCTCAAGAATAGCCCATAAATCCAGAAGAATGCAATTTGTGGGAAACAATTTGTAGAACTGAGCCACAAAGCCCTTTCTAACAGAGATTATGCCACAGCTTCTCTGAGATAACAGGTTAATGTGGTCTTGTCCCCTCAGCAGAAGGTCTTGCCCATATCCAGGAGGACATTTGTGCACTGAGCTGTAGCAAAGCCACCACAGTTGCTGTGCTGGGACACATCCTCAGGCAGGCTGAGGTTTCTTGAGAGCTCCTGAAGTGGATAATGTGAATTCCCAGTGGTATTATCCCACCTCACACCACAGCAGAGCTGCTGGAATACAACTTTTGAAAGGGAAATACCACCAGAAACCAAAATTGTCTGTGATGGAGACGACCACAAGCAATAATGTGGTTTCCTCCAGCTCTGGCCTAAATTATCCCAGGTACCCCCAGGGATGGGGCAGTGCTGGTGGCAGTTACTGGGATATGTGGTGGGAAAAAGAGGATTGGAGAGAAGCTGTGTAGAGTGGAAAGGAGGGATTTCTTTTAAAGTGAGAATCCTTGGAAAAAAACGAGCAAACATCCCTGAGATCACAGGCCTGCAGAGGTCTTTTTTTCTCTAAGTCTTGTTCCTTGACTCTGAGTTCTTCTAGATGTTTTACAGGTGTCAGAGGTTAGCAGATGTCACACCATGACCTGAAATCCCAGGGTTTTAGAAAGCACTGGTGTTTTCCATGCTCACCATGCCACCACCCATGGGACAGCTGTTCCAGGCCTCCATACTCAAGTGCTCCCAGCTAAACCTGAGCCATGGGCAAGGTTTCACATTAGTTCTCATAGGAACTCCAACCCTACCACTCCGCCAGGAGTTTTGATTAAGTTCAGCGTGATTATACAGACCAAACCTTCTGCGGTTCTCTCTCATCGCTAATTGCAGCCTGCTTTGTGGGGGGTGATACTCCTTAAATAACACAGGGAAGCACCTGGTGAGCACCAAGGTGCTGATTCATGGCAAATCTCCTGCACTCAGGCTGGCACTCGCCTGTTCACGTACCCAAAAATTTGCTGATCGCTCTGGAAATGCAGATTATCGAGCTGTTACATAAAGTTGTCTCCCACCTCAGAGTACTGGAGGGCAACACCTTTATTTATTTAAACTAATTTTATAAAATGTAAAAATAAGTAGCAAGCTTCTGGGATCAATAATCACACTCCCATTTATCCCAGGAACGTGTTTTGTGTTGAAGCCTGAACCTTTCAAATCAAAAGTTGGGCTCTTATTTTTTTTTTTTTCCCCTGTGAAGTGATTTTAGAAAAATCATAACTCTGGCTTTAAAACAAAAATAAATTCCTTTTCAGTTTCTGAAAGTAGCCATAGAAAGCTTTGAACTTTCTTTGCTTAAGTAAACACAAAATGTATGTAAAGGATGGAATTCTGTTCTAGATAGTTAAGACATTTCATCTTCCTTTTATTTCCAACAGAAAAGCTGCAATTTTAATTTATGAAGGCATTGTTTGAGTAGCTTTTTGTGTTCTATGCTTCTCTGCCCAGATGTGTTTGAATTCTTTTCCTGGGTGACAACACTGTGATATTCCCACGTGAACATTGATAAGACTTCTGTCTTATCAACAAATCTTGACTTCTGACTTCTTAATAAATCTCCTTGGTCAAAGTTTTTGGTAAATCCTTAAATTTGAGCTGAGACTCAGAACCAGTCACTGAAAACCATGAAGTACAGAAGCTTTTTGACTTAGACCCAGCAGTGAGCAGAGCATTGAGTGGGGGATAAGGGGATTTTTTGTTGACAAGAGTGTAAATATATCTATGAAAACATCCATATTTCCTTGGAAAATCATGGCCAGGTGGAAGAATGTCCTAAGTGTTTTGATTGCAGGTTAACATGTTCTTTCTCCTTTGCCTTTGTTCTCTTTTGCAGTCCATCATTGAGCTCATGCACCTCAAGTGCAAGTGCCACGGGCTCTCGGGCAGCTGCGAAGTGAAGACCTGCTGGTGGTCCCAGCCGGACTTCAGGGTCATCGGCGACTACCTCAAGGACAAGTACGACAGCGCGTCCGAAATGGTGGTGGAAAAACACCGGGAATCCCGCGGCTGGGTGGAGACCCTGCGGCCCAAATACAACTTCTTCAAGGCCCCAACTGAGAAGGACCTGGTTTACTACGAGAACTCACCAAACTTTTGTGAGCCCAACCCTGAGACCGGCTCCTTTGGGACCCGCGACAGGATCTGCAACGTCACTTCCCACGGGATTGACGGTTGTGACCTTTTGTGCTGCGGCCGTGGGCACAACACGAGGACTGAGAAGCGGAAAGAGAAGTGTCACTGTATCTTCCACTGGTGCTGCTACGTCCGCTGCCAGGAGTGCATACGAGTCTACGACGTCCACACGTGCAAATAAAGCGGGCAGAACCCTTGGCCGGGCTCCGAGTGGAGAAATGGATTTTGAGCCTACTTCCTCTGAGGTTGCAGACGTGAGAGAAGTCTACTTTTTTGATATTAAAAGAATAAAAACTGGACAAAAAAATAAAAAATAAAAAGGCTAAAACTGGTTGGATAGAATAGGTCTAATGACTTCTGGGCTATCCCGAGGTACGTCTGGCAGTCACACAAGTTCTGCCCCGACGCCGATGCCTCCGGAAGGAGAGCAACTTTTCCACCAGCCCACAACACCGAGCTGGAAAGAAGAGCATTAGCAAAAGCATGGATTTGCTCTGCTCCCACCCGCCTGAAGTGACTCGTGTGATTAAGTGTCCTTTGAAAGACTTGCATCTTCCTAAGCATCTCCTTTTCCCTCAGCCAGGCAGAGGCTGTGCTGAACAGCAGCACGGAGCTTTCTGAGAGATCTCTCTGCAAACCCAAATGGCCAGACTGTGTAATATGAGCAACAGTAGCAAAAGAAATAAAAACAGACAAATTAAGGATTTTTTTTTAGTAAAGAACACGACTACTTCTTTGCTTTTGCCTTGGAACCAGAGACGTCTACAAATATCTAACAGAGCTGGAGAGTGGGTGAGCTCTTGATGTGAACTTCTTAGCGTGGTAGCTTCTGCCAGATTTGACATAGGATCCCGTGACATCTGTAGAAAGGGAAGGAGGGAGAAGAGGAGGGAGAGAAAGAGAGAAATCTGCTGATGACTTCCTGTAAACGCCCTGTTGGCACACGGGTGATGTGCACAGAACAGAGAAGTTCAGTGTCCTGTCTGTGAAGAGGACTCTGCGTGCATTGAGAAGGACACAGTCCCACAACTGGGAATGCTGCTGCAGCTCTCCAGCCTGGGACGTGGTTCAGCCAGTGAGTCTTCCTTGGAAATGTGCAGTGAGTCTCTGGGGCTGGACATCCACTCCTGAGCACAGGACATCCGTCTCCTCAGCACTCGAGGGAAAGGAGGGGAAGGGAAGGTGTTCACCCTTCCCACCTTGTTGGGGAGGTCTGTCACCAGCAGTGGAAAGTGCACTTAGTTCTTCCACTCTGCACCTGATGCAGGCTTCCCAGGCACTTGGCAGCAGCCTGAGCCCACAAGTCTGTCAGGAACATGGATCTGAAGGACTCATTGTCACCCATTAATTGACATGAGGGTGAACTGACGCACCATCACTACCACACCCCATGAGCTGGAGCAGTCTCAGACTCAAGCCAAACCTTGTTCCACAGCTAATTCCTACAGCCATTCCCACCTGTAAAAGTGGTATAGATTAAAATGGACAAAACCCAGAGCATGAACCAGCCCAGAGTTTGGGTAAGTTTGGACACAGAGCCAAATCCCAGCTTTGGAGGGCTGGCCCATCTCTGCTGTTCACCCCTGACTCCCCATCATCACACGTTGCTTTGCTTCCAATTCCAGATCAGGATCACAGTTTACAGAAACAGGTCTCACCTCCTCCATGGGCATCAGGACTTCCTTCAGGGTATCAGGCATGAACTCAGCCCACCACCTTGGTATTCACAGCACTGTGACCCTGCTTGGGTTATTCCTGGGCAATACTGGGATAAATGAGGGGTGAACCAAGCAAGGAGTAGCAGCCTGCTTTAGCTCCAGATGCACTTGCCTTGTGTCCTCTTTGCCTTACCCCCGCTTTTGGGTTCCTATCCTGGAGAAAGGACAATGGATTGGTGTTTATTCTGTCTCTTCAGCACAGAGGAAGGGAAACAGAGTATGAGTTAATTCCCCTTTCATGGCACTGTAATCATGGCCGTTGGCTGGTTCACTCCTGGAAATCTTTGTAGAGAAATCAGAGTGCTCCTCTCTGTGTGTCAGCCTTTTCCCAGGAACCAACGGGAAGGAGTACAGAAGAAGAAGGGAACAAACAGAGCTTAATCCCATCAGAGAGAAAACAGGAGGAAATGATGCCTCCGAGGGCTGGCTCTGAGTCACAGCGTCTCCTGGGACTACTCCTAGGCTGGTGCAGTTTATGCATCACCCATTTGGCTCAGGGCTGTGCCCAAGGGCACAAGCAAGATTTGCTTATTGATGGAGGCACTTCTATTCGTGCTTTGCAAAAAAAAAAAAAAAAAATCTGTATCAAATGAGTACTGGAGAGAGGAGATCAAGAGAAGCGAAGAAAAATACGGGGAGAAATTCAATCTGTAGTATCTGTCCATGTGAACACTGCACCCCAACAATGGCCACACACCACGTGGAGAAGGCAATGGGTCCCTGAAAACTTAAATAAAGATCAATTAATGGATGCATGACTGATTTCCATAGCGCAGTCTTGGAGAAAAGGAAAACTTAATCATAGGAAGTAGAGAAGGAAGCCACTGCAGGGGGAGATTGCACCTATAACCAACATTCAAACACAATCTGTCAAGAAAGCCAATGCTCCAGAAAGCCACATAAGGGGTGGAAGACATTGATAAATTGGAGAGGATGGGATAAGGAATGATACATCTGGTTTACTTAATATGATGCAGTGCAAGCAGCCACAGTGAGAGATGTCAGACACGTCCTACCAGGAACTTCTGTCAATCAATGGTGACCCAGCAGTGAAAATTCAAATCATTGCAGGCCACAGCCCCTTCAATCCATTGACTTCAGTGGGGTCACACCCACAACTGGTTTTACACTAAGATTGTTAAGCCAAGTGGTTTCAAACTCCTTTTATACCACACCAGTGAAGAAATGGGTTGGAGGATTTGGCTTCCATGAGTGGGAGCTGGAATCTGGCCCCAGCCTATCCACAGCATGTTCACATCAACCATTTCTGCTTTTGCACCAGAACAAGCCCAGTATCACCAGCAGGTGAAGCTTTTTGGGAAGCAGGGGAAAAAATTTGAAACTAGGCATTTGCTGAGCAATTGCCTCTAGAGGTGAACAAATTTTGACTGCAACAGTGGGATTTGTTTCATCCGGCCTAAGCTATTTATCTACTTTCCTGCTGGGATCAATGGCGAGAAACAAATCCAGAAGGTGATTCATTGTACTTAGGATGGTACCCAAGTTATGTTTGTTTAAGTGCCCTCTGGGTGTATCTCTGACTTCAACTGCTGAGCTCAGAGCAGACGATGAGCTCTTCCATGGGTCCAGACTGACGATGTGAAGTCCACCATGAGTCAAGGAGGTGAAGCTACAACCTGATCATCATCTGAGATTGGCTGGAAGTTGTGCTCCCTCAAAGCTGGGGTCAGGCTTGAGCCAGCTCAGTGCTTGGGGACTCCTCCCCCTCCATTCAAGGTGTTTTTAACGAAGCCTGTGGGTACTTGTTTGGGGTTTGTTATGTAATTAATCATCTTTGTGATGATACAATGTAAGGGGTTGAGCAGCTGCTACTAAAGCCAATGAAAAATTCCTGCGTGAATTCTGTTCGTCACCCCAAGCACGCCCGGGGGGTTCCAGTCCTGGGTCTGACTCTGCCCAGCCCTGAGGGGGGAAAAGAGCCTGTCAGGGGTCTGGGAGCTGGGCCTGTGTCTGAGCCCATGGTTTTAGAGAGGGGGCTTGGGCCACTGCGCACTGCTACACGTGAATTCGGGAGGTGACTTTGGAAAACTGAGATCCCTCTCCACTGCCTACGCCGGGTGTCTTGAGTCAGGGTTTCCACTGCACTGCTGAGAAAAATCTAGTCAATGATGAGTGAGGTGCCATCCTTCCCTACAGGAGATGGTCTGAATACCACCCAGAGCTGCCTTCTGCCTCAGGTTTTCCTGTGAAAACAGTAGGACATTACTTATGGAAGGGTCTTGGCATTTCACTCAATAATATAAACATCTGGTGACATATTACAGCTGCCCTAAAATGTTCTGTTGGGGTCTAGATGTTGTCTCAATGGCCTAAGACCCACACAGATCATAAACCTGGGCAGTCAGAGACCACTGGGTGTCCAAAATGACCCGAGATGTCTTTGTGTGGGCAATTGAACTGGGCACTTCTCTGGACGTGGTTTCCTGTCAGACCTTCTCCCCCACCTTGCTGTAATGCTCCAGTTTATAATCAAAAGGAAATCATTATTAATTTCTCACAGATGGGGGCTGGCCATCTCCACCTCCGTGCTCCCTGGTGTCCTTCCCTTCAGGGTCCACTGGTGAGGTTTGTCCTCAGGCAGATGGTTTGTACCTGGGCTGTGTCTGGCAGGACAGGGGAAATGGGACAAGATGTCACCCAACAAAGTAACAGATGTGAAAAATAAAAGTAAAAAAGGACCAAAAGGACCGTAATTCCATCCTCTCACATGCTGCTATCTAACCTCTCCTTTAGCTGAACAGATGGGTCGTATGGGCCCCATCAGTTCCACATCCAGCTTAATAAAGACAGTGGTGTTACCTGAGGGGGGTGAATTTGGCCTCATCTCTTTTCTTTCTATGAAAGAAATGGAAAGTTTAGGAGTTTGGTTGTTTTGTTGGGCTTTTTTTAGGTTTTGTTTGGTTGTTTGTTTTTGTTTTTTTGGTTTTTTTGGGTTTTTTTTGCCCTTGGTTTGGTTTCGTTTTAGAATTTGGGGGCTTTTCTTTCTCAGAGAAAATGAAAATATGGGGAGGCACTGCCCAGCACTGATAGTCTCCTCCAAAGCATTTTGAAGTCTCCAAAACTGGTTCCACTCCTTATGGGAAGCTTCATGTGCAGAATTAAAGCAGTTAGGATTTAAGTTTTTGAGGGGTTTGCAGAGACAACCACACCACAAAATGCAACGTGGCACAGAAATCCCTGAGTCAGCACTGACCATGGCAGCCCTGACCATGTCAGCAGTGTTGTCATCTAAGCTAAGCATTGCAGATTTTCTGTATTAACAAACCTCAGAAAAAATTTCTTCTGCCTCTCAATCTCAAATATTTGTAGTGTTTTCATTGCATACAGACGTATTGCTGTAGAAATGTCCCTGGATTATGTTACATTTGTCATGTGTGTTCATATTCTTATCATGTCCCCATCCTTAAATTAATATACAGGAGAAACACTCTGAGCTTTGGGTCACTTTTTTTAGCTTCAAAGATTGTTGTCAGTGCTGAAAATGTGGTGTTTGCTGTTGTTGGGGATATTCAGGGTTGCAGCATGAGCACTCTGCAGGAGCTGGGAGTTGTGAATCCAGTCCTAGGATCTACACTACGGAAATTACTCCAGACTTCCCTCAGTGCTTTAACGAGATCCATTTGGGAAGAGGAAAACAAGCCCATGGAAGGCACCAAACCCAACTGCCCTGCAGGTATCAGCCATTGCTGGTACCTGGCTCCCACAGGAAACAACCCTGGGCTCTTCCAGAGTCCTGCTCCAGGGCTGAGGGGAAGGGACCACCCTGCTGGCAGTGGCAGAGTCAGGGGATGTTTGCTCAGATCTGTCATTCCTGAGCTCCAGCAGGTGCTGGGGCGAGATATCAGAGAGTGCTGGATGGTGGGAGAGAAGGTGGGCTGGGCAGGACAAGACCTCATCTCTTCTTCATACCTGTAGTTTCCTATTTTCTACCTCCCTCCAAGGTAAATCTTGGCTGGTTTTGTAGTG